ATTTGTTTGGAGGAAACACAAAAGGGAAGCACAAATGAGATATCTTACATTTCTTTTAATAGGAAATCATGACCTGAGATTTGCAGATGAAAAATTACATGTCACAAAAGATAGAAAATAAAAAGGATAAGAAAAAAAAGGAAGGAAAATTAAAGCTACAGTTACTGCCATGCACCAATCTTCCAGCACAAAAGGAACTGAGGGAAGAGACACAGAATTATAGTTGTACAATTGAGGTAGACAGGAAAATAAAAAAAGAATAGTTGCACAACTGAGCAGAAAAAATCGTTCCACAATTGAGGGGAAAAAAATCCACAAGAAGACATGTACCTGAGCTATCCTAACACTAGCTCAGCCTTCCTGGGATCTACAGAGTCTAGTGCATATGCACATAGTCTAAGAATCTCACTTCTACCTACAGTTTACATTATCATAATAAAGTATTAAGGGATATCAAAAGTGTGCATAGTTATATATATACATATATATATGTTATGTATATACAAACATTTGTCTATGGTTCACTAAAAATAAGAAAATATGACAAAAGGTACAAAACAATAAAAAACATGACAGGAACATTCAATCATGCACATGAAATGATCTGCTGACAATTGAAACCCATGATAAAGAAGACGAGATTCAGAGATAAGGAAGATACCATCTACTGAGATATAAACATTTATATGACAGTATCAGCTAAACTTAGCATATGTATCTTTATCTAGACATTGTACACTTAACATAATATATATGTTAGGACTGTAAAACAGACCCAATCTGTAATATGAAATGATTTATATTCATATGGCAAAACAATAGTGAAGAAAAGATGGTATGAATGAAATACATTGAAGAAAAGATGTAAAAGGTAATGTCATGAATGAAACGTATATCTCTCGGTAAATCCTACACCACCATGATAGATCATAAAATAGGACTCTACACACTGGTCATGAGATTAAATGAAACTGTGTCTCAAACATCATACACTGATGCTGTTATGAAACACGATACTTAAATTGTGCAGTCTGACAGGTGATGCACTTTCAGTCAGTGCATAACTCTGGCGAGACCCCAGCACTCGTTTGTGACAATATGCTTCACTCACGTCATGCATACGTGCACTCTGGGATGTGTTGGTGCAACTGCAGTGTTATGGTGCTCTGAGGGCATTCATGAGTTGTGTGGTGCACTTAAGTGTAGTCGTGCGATGGTGCAGTGCTTCGTTGGGAGAAATGCCATGATGAGGTTCTCTTACCGAGGAACATCATGCAAAGATATGGTAGGAACAGGCTTGTCACATGTATATCTACCCAAAAAACTACAAATGCATCACATGTATGTATAATTGATTGCATGGGTGTTCTGTGTCATGGAGAACGATCATATCGTGGGTTATCTTGTACGTGAAGCTACGGTGGATTTAATGCTCTCAGTTGCCTATGACTCAATTGTCTGAGAGTCATCTCTCTTGGAGCAAAGGGAGCAACCTTTATCTTTGAATGTGCAATAACAGAGTGGAACCCTGTGCAACCCTGTACACTTGAGAGAAAACAGTAATAATACAATAGAAAATTGATAAGTTACTTATAAAACCAAAAATTAGTTGTATAAGAAATTGTATACAGCTGTAGGTACATAATGCAAACCTGAGAATACAAAAATAGTGGAGAAAAAAAAAAAAAAAAAAAAAAAAAAAAAAAAAAAAAAAAAAGAATCTGGTGATCATGCACCAGGAAACCCACAGACTCAGAAGAGCCTTCCCAATGCCCTTTCACTTTCAGTTGCATCTTGCAATAAATCTGGGGAAATACTGTTAAACAAAGGAGTGAAGAGATACAGAAAAAGACAATACAGACAGAAAGGAAGAAAGAATTCAAGAAAAACCAAAGGGGGCAAAAAATAAAACTGAGGTGCTCCTAATTCCTGTACTAAGAACAACTATTTCACCTCAAGAATACATTCAGTCATGCAGTAAAAAAGTCTGGATTGCATCCATCATTTCTTGATCCCCACTCATGCTATCACTCATTCATGCTTAGTAAAAGAAGCACATTGGAAATAATACAAATATATCTATACAATAAAAAAAGAGCAAAATATCAGTATTTGTACTGTACATTTTTTTTTCTTTTACTATGTGCTAGTTTCTGGCTTGTTAAACAACCAGTCATTAACAATTAGGTGTTTTCTTGCCTTTAAGTAAATCATGTGTTACATCATCATTCATCCATTATAAGTGTAGGATATTTGCCTTGAGGTTCTATTCCATTCCCAGACTCTCCCCTTCACTTCCCTTCTTTTATCTCCCCTATCTACCCCTCCTCCCTTTCCCTTCTCTTCTTTACTCTTCCCCCTTCCAATCTCATCCCATCCTAACCCATTTCTTCCCTCTTCCTTTGTTTTCTCTTCCTTCCCCTTCCCTTCTGTATGCTTTCCTTCCCTATCCCTCCCATGCTTTTCTTTTTTCTTCTATATTCTTCCCCCTCCCCATACT